AAGGGGGGACAGAACACAGCCTTAGCCAACAGTGAATAAACTCAACGTAACATCATTTACTAGGAAGCAGCACCAGCTATCAACATGCAATGGCTGGATGGTTCATAGCAACTGGCCCCATACGTTTGTAGGCACGCTCAGCTTATTGCGTGATCCAGCCATGGGGTTTCTCCAAATCCTCACAAAATATGTGAGCCCAATAAGCGAACTGCCGCAATTTCTCGACATTCTGGTGTTAGGCAAAGATTTGGCCACAGATTCGTCAGGCCTGACCTGAAGCCACTCTGTTCCTCTAGTATGATAGAGTCAGCTTTAAGCTTCGGCGCCTGCTCTCTAACATTTTTGCGTAGACTTTTCCCGGAAAGCTCAAGAACGTATTGCCTGACAATTGCAGTACTGTCTATGCTCACCCATCTTGAACAGGGGGCAATAACTACCCATTTTCCAGGCCACTGGCGTCTTTCCTGTATCTATTCGAGTTTGACAGGCACGTGTTACCCACAACATTCCTTTTCTGCCTAAATATTTAACCATTTCGTGGTGTATTTTATCTATTCTAGCAGCCTTGTAATTTTTAAAGCTTTGGTACCTCCTGTGACTTTATCTGTTGAAACATCGATATCCGTTTTTTGCTACTCTTCATGCAAGTCTTCCCGCGGCTGTTCCTGATTAACTAGTTCCTCAAATCACTTTCACCATCTTTCTCAGTGGGGGGGAGGTGGTCCTTAGAACTGTTAAACTACCCTTCTACCCATCTCAGAGGCGGCGCATGATCTGCCAGAATATTTTGTCTGCCGTCTGGAAATACAACTCCATTACCTCACCTAGCTCTTCCCAAAAATCACTCTTCGCCTTACCACTGCTTTCATTGAATGCATTCATTGAACATGAATATGGCTGGCAGCTTAAACTCCCCTCCCCATGTGAAGTGTCGTCATTATGTTTTTCCACTTGACTGCTATAATCCACAAAGTTAACGCAAGTTGTTGGCATCTGCCAACCGTTTTTAAGTTCGTTACGAAGATAGCTTCTTAACCACTGTAGCTTCAGACTAGAAAACGTTTTACTGTAGATGACCTGCTACGCTATCCTGTAATCTGATAGTCGCTAGCACTTTTTGCAGCTTGGGAAATACGATGGATTTTGACCAACTGTTTGGCAATTGCGGCAGAGATCGTATTCCTCGATGTTATTTCCGTATTTGCAAGTTCTGCTCCATGGATGCCACTTGATATGCCACGTTACTCTTGTCAATGAATAAATTCCATTGAGGTATATCCAAAAATAAATGTTTATTTCCTGAGGACGTATATACTTGTCATTGTAGTAATTCGTTCTGTTCCCCCTCATGTGCATTCATCTTAGTACGCGCCTTCTTTCTATGCTTTTATCAGTTCTTTAATAATGTGTGACTCTAGAAAATTTGGATTGATCCCTGTGTATCTTGCTATTATACATTAACTGACTTTGTGAATCTCCTTAACCATATCAAAACATGTATGCGTATTGGCATGGAAGGAAAGGTGGGATCGTTAGGGCATAAGATTGTCAAAGACTCTTGTACTGAGAAGCAAATCCAAAATCAGGCGCAAAAGCAATACAACAGCAAATGCTATGCTAACCAGAATGAAGATAACACCGTTTTCAAAAAATAAAACAGCAAAAGAAAATTACAATTAAAATTCGAAAGATTACAAAGAAAAGCGCAAAAGCGTAGGTAGAACATAAAGGAGACGTGGCATATATTGACAAGAAAGTCAGGAGAAGAATAAGCGAAAAACAAATGACGTTTGGGTAGTATGGCAAAAATGTTTCGTGTGGTACGGCAAACTTTAAGCATATTTTTCGCAGATACAAAATAAAACGACCCAAGTAGAGCAACACTATTAGCCAAGGCGGATAGCGTATTATGCCCAACGTTTCAGGCATATCAAACGAGCTGACGCATTCTTCCGTGCTGATTGTTTTTGGATAGCAACGTGCAGCAATTTTTCAATTAATAACTTAATTCTGCCTCTCAGTATTG